ATTATCTCCAAGTCATGACCACGTGATTCTTCTTGCCACGTCAACCTGTTGTCATGAAAGTGAGGGTTGAGAATCTCACGTTAGAAAAGCAGCGATTGCGGCAACCTTCGTAGGAGAAATTCCCAGTTGTCCGTGAGAAGGCTCGCCGATCGACTTTGCCGCGAACACAGAATGGAGATATTTGAACACCAATCCGAAAATGAAATAACACAAAAATGAGGGTGTTCTCGAGGCTGATTGAAAAGATGGAGAGCTGCGGCTTCGGGTTCACCCAGGTTCCCCAGTGTCGTCTCGCATACCTTTCGATCCAACCATGCCTTGAATTCCCACGGGTCCAGCAACGCCATACGATCCCTGGGGCCCCTGTGATACATGAAATCCAGTCATGACTTGTTGTCCCAGGGTTCCAGTCGTGCCCTGTATTCCCTGATGGCCAGTCATGCCTTGCGATCTCTGGGGTCCAATCACACCCTGCATTCTACGAAGACCACTTATGCCTTGCGATCCCTGGGATCCAGTCACACTCTGTTTTCCCTGAAGGCCAATCATGCCTAGTGGGCCTTGGGGTCCAGTCACACCTTGTGATCCCTGAAGTCCAGTCATGCCTTGTTGTTCCTGGGGTCCTGTCGTGCCCTGTATTCCTTGAAGGCCTGTTAAGCCTTGTTGCCCCAGGGTTCCAGTCGTGCCCTGTATTCCTTGATGGCCAGTTATGCCTTGCAATCCCTGGGGTCCAGTTACACCTTGTATTCCCTGAAGTCCAGTCATACCTTGTGGTTCCTGGGTTCCAAGTGTGCCCTGTATTCCCTGAAGGCCTGTAAAGCCTTGTTGCCCCATGGTTCCAGTCGTGCCCTGTATTCTTTGATGGCCAGTTATGCCTTGCGATCCCTGGGGTCCAGTTACACCTTGTATTCCCTGAAGGCCAGCCATGCCTTGCGATCTCTGGGCTTCAGTCACACTTTGTATCCCCTGAAGTCCAGTCATACCTTGTGGTTCCTGGGTTCCAGTTGTGGGTATTCCCTGAAGGTAAGTTATGCCTTGCGATCCCTGGGATCCAATCACACCCTGTATTCCACGAAGGCCAGGAATGCCTTGCGATCCCTGGGGTTCAGTGACACTCGGTATTTCCTGAAGTCCACTCATGCCTTGTTCCTGGGGTCCAGTCACATCCTGAATTTCCTGAAAGCCAGTTATGCCTTGTGATCCCAGGGGTTCAGTCACACTTTGTATCCCGTTAAGTCCAATCATGCCTTGTTGTTCCTGGGGTCCAGTCGTGCCCTGTATTCCCTGAAGGCCAGTTTTGTTATGCTGTCCCAAGGTTCCTGTCGTGCCCTGTATTCCCTGAAGTGCACTCATGCCTTGCAACCCCTTCGGTCCGATCTCCCCCTTCGATCCCTGGGGTCCAGCAATGCGCTCCTCACCCTTTGGTCCTGTATTTCCCGGAAAACCGAATCCTGTCATTCCATCCACTCTCTCGACTGATTGAAACAAGAAAGCCAAGCAATGGGATTTGTAAGTATCCAAAATATTATTTGTTGGTCGCCAATCAAGTTCGAAAATACAATAAATGATGAGGACGGGAGCAGAATGATACATTTGCAATTGATGGGCCTACTAATATTTTAGTGTTATGTTTTGCAATGGATATTGCTCGTACTCGAACATTTCATTTCCTATATGGGTCATTCCACGTCAGCTCGATCTGAGATTGTGGTCGACCATTAGCGATTTGGCGGAAATTAGTGCAGACGTAGCGTATGGCACAAAAACAGGAGATCCAAAAAAAATTATGAACAAAAATCTCTCTGAAATTTTTTGCCGGATTACTCTTTGGCAACCCAGATAAGGGTTAAGGAAGCTATGCCCTAAGAATATTCACTCACTGGCGACGCAGGAGAACCCAGCGAGGTCAGTTGGGGTGAGAGTCCAGCTCACGCTTCCCCTGCAGAAGGAGGACCTTGTCTTCGCCCTGGTGTCCCGCCACACCGTCCCAAGCGGACACGAGTAGACCACCTCCGTGTTGAATGAAAACGGGGCGGTGTCGTTTCCTCCCGGGAACGTCATTGCGACCGAGTTCCCAGGGTACACCGGCGGGGCGGGGCAGCCTATCGAAAGTAAACGCAATCAATGATTCATTCTGAAAAGGTGATTAAGACTAATCTGACGCTTAAAATGTTTATGTGTTCCTTTAGTGGGTTAAACTGTTTGGACTTGAGATAATATATGTTTTCTAAGCCTGGTTTTCTCAATTTTTAGAGGTCGGCCCATTTAGGGTGCAGTTTCCAAGGTGCCTTAAAGAAAAACCTTATCCTGATCTCATGGTTTCTCCTACATTCTCGAATGCCTTGATAGAACAAATTTTACACATTTTCTTACGCGCAATCTGAATTATTTGAATATTGTGGCCTCAATAGTAGAGGTTGATATGTTAAAAACATTTAGTAAATTCCTTTGACTAGACTTTCATAGTCTGATGGCTTGTCAGTCTAAAGTCTATACTGACTTGAATGACAGACAGCATGAAAGTCCAGTCACTTCACCTCCAAGAATTTGGGAATTTCATTAGAAAGGACGACGTGGGAACTCAGTTAATCAGTGCCAGATTCTGATCTGGCCGCCGAGGCGTCGGTGAATGAAAATTCGTTGAATCTGACCCGAAAATATTAAATTACGCATATACAGCTTGCAGCAAAAAGCACGAGAGGAAGGTAGGATCTCTCACTTCCCGGAGCGGACTCGATGCAGAGGTAAGCCGTCGGTACCTCGTCGGGCAGGATGCTTCCGCAGGGGTAGTCCACGAGGTGGTATACCCCCAAGACCAAATAGAGCCCCAGGCATTCTTGTGGGGACGGCCGGGAGAAGGAGTCGGGCTGGGAGGGCAAGGTCCAGGCAGTCGTTGGGATGTGTGCGGTTGAGCTCCAGCCAGATACCAGGCTTGCCTGAGTCTGGGCCTTGTAATCCCTGAAATCAATATTGGGGAATAAGGAGGGGCGGCAGAGTTTCAGGTGTGCCGTTCCCCAGCCCGACCTGATGTCGGAACCCACGTTCGTATGGATTTTGCACTTGCGCGTTGGTGTGCGTTATATTTACATTAGTATTGACTTCGAAGGGTTATGCTGAGGAATTTGGTTTCAGGAGGTTAAACCGATACAATTTCCAAAAACCACGACCTGTCATGTCTTCTCCCATTGCAACTGCTTTCAAATAGTTTGCTACTGTTCGGAATAAACAGCCCAAGTCCCGAATCTTGTGCTCCGATCCATCGTCACCTTACAGTCTCTTTTTCACGCCCTGAAAGCGTCGCCAAGGATGAGTCCGAGCATCCTACGACCTTCCTGCAAGTTGAGACGACTTTCTTCCCGCTCCCGCAACTCAAGTTTGCAAACTTGAATCAGCCTGAACTGTTTTGCTTCGAGGATACTACACCTCCAACCAACTTCATCCCAGATCCCTCTTTTCCCGGAAATGAATTGAAATGAGAGGAAACTGACCCGAGTGGGGAGAAGAACCCCCCGATGAGCACCAACTGCCCTCCTCCGGCAGCCGCTCCCCTCAGCCCGTTGTAATCCGTGAAGGTCGTGAAAGTGGCCAGCGTCCCCCTGTACAGAGCATCGTAGCACGCCAAGGCTGCCTCCTCCACTGTGATTCCCCTGGGTCCGAGAGGCTCCAGGCGGAAGAGCCCTGGAAAAGTGAAAACAAGTGCCGTTTCTTAGCAAAAAATTGCACGACTCGTTCTCATAGTGGCATGTGTCAATGTTTCTTTCACCGGTTTGCGTTTGCGATTGTTTGTCAATTAGGAAATACGTGTTCTCATCTAATTTAATTTAATTTCACACGATTCAATCATGGGAAAAGCAGGCGAATATAATTATTATTTCACGTTTTTTCAATGGGTAGTCAGCAACATTTCCTTTTGTAGTAATATTAAGTCGGTCTTCTTCGTGTGAATAGATAACTAGATCGTCCACTTATTGGGCTTTCTAGTGCCTTAATCCTCTCAATTTGCATTCTTAGGTCCACAGTGTTGTTTCTCGAAAGTGAACACACCAATTTTTAAGAACACCCGAATATTATGAGTGCAGCACCATCTCGCCGCCACCACGCCCTAGAATCAAAAATGTGGGAGAGTCATGAGGCCGTTGGAATTCTCACCGCATCTGCGCGCACCTATGCAGTGGGCATGCGGAGTCTGCATGGTCGAACGTCTTGCAAGGGAACAAGCATATCTTTTGAAATCCTTGCGACAGTAAGACCTCAGCAGCATTCCTGGTACTATTTCGGACTCATTTGAATTAACGAATGCCCCTTTTGGCGCTATTTGGAGGATTTCCTACTGCTTTTAGTTTTCTTCATTTACATGAGATCATTTACATAGCATTGTAGTTCGAAGAAAAATGCAGAGAAGTAATGGTCGCAGATGTGTCACAATGGATGGTAAAACTCGCGAGGAGGAATTTTCTTTTCGCCTCCTTCTTGCGAGTGCCACGTCGAAAATGTATTGTCTGTACTAGGACGTCTATTAAAATGTTATTCGAGTCTAATTCACATCCGTAGGCTTCTTTGCATCTTTTCTTTTCTTGATGTTAATCATTTACCGCCCTAAACGATTTCATTCACTTTACACTCAGTCTCTTGAACTTCGACATAATTGTGCCTTCATACTTTTCAAAAAAACCTGAACAGTTATGATACATGTGAAATGTCGATGGCATCGCACCGTCATTTTGTAGTCTCCTTTTTCGACATAAACGGTTGGCCGATGCATAATTGGGAGAAAACGCTATAGCGCGAAAGAGTATAGATGCGCTCCGAGACTAGATTCTCTCACCCCTCCTCTCCTCTTGCCCATTCCACGTACCTTGTTCGCAACTGTCTCCGTGCCTTAACGTCAAAACTATGTGCATTTGCATATTAGACCCTGTCCGAGCCTGAGTATCGAAATGTTGTTCCTCATTTTTTCCCCAACAAGTATAGCATAATGTGATACACCGTCTCGGGTTGCTTGCAAGAAAATTGAATTATATTTTCCCTTTATAATACTTCAAACTCCATAGATGAGGGTGTTTTAGGGTTTGGATTAGACCCTTTCGAAAATGCCTCCTCCCCCCCACGCTTGCATTTTAAAACATTCTGGATTCGAAGTCGTACGGTTCTGTTTGCATCAAATCCGTTCATTTATGTCGCGTTTTCAGTGAAAAATAAACTAGGCTAACAGGATCAGAATTCCTTTTCCAACCCTTTAAGATCTAAAAGAAAACCCTTAAACCCAAATCCGTTTGGACTCACCTTCGACGCCATCACTAAAGCTCCACAACACGAGGATGAGGGATCCCAAGATTCTCCGGAACGGGAGGAAATGCAGCAGGGTCGATCCCGTTTTCTTCCTTTTCATCCTGATCGCACTTTTTGTTTTCCTTCCCCTTCCAGACTGAGTCGGGGAAGGGGACGAGGATCACTGTCAAGCGTGACTGCGAGTGAATCAGGAAGATTGCCTCCTCGCTTCGTTGCGGGCCAAGGTCAGATTTTAGTCTTTCCTTGTCCACCTCTCGTTAATTATTTTTATGCTGTCGCCTGGGGCAGAGCATCCTCGCGATGTCAGTGTCCCCCGTATGGAAACCGGTCGTGGCTCGTCCCAGATGGTGTCGTTTGGGCCATAGCAGGGATTTGCATGGGCATCAAACGACCGGCTTTCCGTGTGAGGCCATATATCTACGCGCCTTAGTGGCTGGATGAATGCATGAAGGTCGAATTCCAAAGGAGTGCCCTTGGGTACCTTTTCGCAAGCGACTCGGGAGAATTCCTTGCCCTTCGCCAAGAGATGCCTTTATTACTCGGCGAGTGACGTTTTCGATTTTCGCCTTCACACTTCCATCCCCCTGGGCATTATTTTGATGTGATTTTATAATTTCTTCTAATTATCCTCCCCAGTAAAAATATTACCTGTTGCCTTTCCTCCAAGGGATATAGATGTGATGAGGGGAAGGATCAAATCTTGAAATGATTGTTTCCTAGTCTGGAATTGTTTTGCAGTCAGCAATATTTTTTACACTTTTCTGTACTGCAGGAAAGAAGAGATAATATTTATACCTGAAATTAGTATTCCTGCAGCCCTCTTTTGTACGTGAACACACGACTTTGCAATCCATTTTTAGTCATGATTGACATGGTAAATGGATGAGTGAACCCTTTCGGGGGTGGGTACGGATATATTTTCAAGGGGAAGGAAGGGATGCATCTTCTATCGGGGGGAACCCCACTATTGGCATGAAAGGATTTTCCCTCACGGGAGTTCGGGAACGTCGTCATAATTTGTTGAGAATCATTTCCTATGGCTAAAATTAGAAATAATGCCTACTACGAAAAACATAATTTCATCCTATGGCTCGTAAGGATTGTGATGCGCCGTCCCTTCTGCTCATTAAGACAATGTCGTAATTCCTCCGCGCTCGAGTATGTCCTTCACTCTGCTGTCAGCGAGAGCTCTTGTCCATTCTCAATGTCTAACTTATTTGCAATAAAAGTTCATGATACTAATGCTTTGCCTCAACAAATTTAGATGAAATTTGATGTATCAGTTAGGAACATACTCATATATGCAAAGAGATAGTCTTGAAATAGCTCAATTGTGAGGAGAGATATTTTTGTAGAAAGTCATTGGTCTCATTTGAACCATATCTTTACATACAGTTGATGCCACCCGGGCACCGCGACGAAAGCGCCGCCGTTCAGGTTGGAAGGATTCCTCCATAGGAAAGCATGGGCCCCATGTTAAAGGTTTTAGGAGTTCACTTTCAAAACACTATGTAAGTAGCAATAGCGAGGCACTTCCATCAGAATTTGCCTTTTAAAAATGTTATAAAAGTAGATAAGCTTTTATTCGGTATCCTAATTTGAGTAATATTATTTCCTGCTGTTCAGGGAAATAACGGAGTCTGTGCAGGTGCAGTCGGTCTGAACCCAAGCCCACGAATGCGCCTCCATTGGACGCATCCGATTCTGAAGCACGAAGGTGACCAAAGTGAGCATCTCACTTGTGTTTAATGGATGTGAAGAATATGAGATTAATGGCATAATTTGCTGGCGAGGAATGAATGTGTTGCTGCTTCAGCTCCAGCATTTGCAAAGTTTGATGGAAGAAATGTGTCAAGATTCAAGCATTCAAAAAATAAATATTACGAAAGTCCACGTTAATAAATAAAAATGAAGGTACATCCTGAAGGCCCAGGCCTGCTCATCCCGGTCTCGGGCGTCGTCTTCTTTTTCTCGACACGTCGCCACCTGGCGCTCTTCCACCAAAGCGACGACGAGAATCTGGAATCCAAAATCTGTCTGTATCTTCGACCTCCGGCGGGGTGAGGAAGATCGGTGGGTCTATGAAAAGTGGCCTCTCTGGAACCCCCCTGAAAACTGCGTTGAGCACGTCGAACACGAATCCGAAGACTAAATAGGCAATGATGAATACGTCTGCGAGACTAATAAAGGAGAAAATTGAGAGCGGCAATTTCGGTACAACCAAATTCCCGACATCACCCTTGCTTCCCTTGGGTCCGATCTTGCCCTTCACACCTTTGCCTGAAAAGAGAAAAAAAAAGTAACGGGGCGTGCGAATGTTACATGTCTGATGGTGATTTATAAATTGGACTTACCGGTCAAGCCTTTTATGCCCTTTTGCCCCATAATTCCTGTTTGGGGGGGGGGGGGGGAGGGAAAGAATTAAAACGAGAGAAAAGTGGACTATTAACTTTTAAACTTCTCGATTACGAAATATAAATTTTCCATGAAGAAGAATGAAAGCTGGACAGCTTACCTTTCACACCCATCATCCCCTTTTCGCCCCTCATGCCTTTTGGTCCCTTCCAACCTTTCCCGCCCTTATGGCCCTTCTGTCCCTTCACACCGGCCTCACCTACAATGTGTAGTATGGATAAAATCACCACACAGTGCTTTTTCCCCCTTTAATTTCTATTAATTTCTATTCTCAAAAATTAAGACAAGTAAGAGAATACCTTTCCGACCCTTGAGTCCCTTTTGTCCCTTTAGAGCCATTTCTCCTTTCCTACCTGTATTAGAAGACAACAAAAATCCTAGCTGATGAATATCAGGCAACTCATTTTCCACAGAAGTCTAGAAAAACAGCAAAATAACTGGAATAACTCGCCTTTCGCACCCTTTGATCCTTTCTCAGCTTTCAAGCCCTTCAACCCTTTATCTCAATTCTGTCCTGTGGGAAATGGATAATTCGAGGTTAAATAATATTGGTTTAATCATTTCGTGAAGAGTATATAGTACCACATGCATACCTTTTTGACTAGGGATTCCTTTACTCCCCTTCTCACCCTTCACACCTTTTTGCCCTAGGACACAAAATAATAAATTAACTCATACTATTTCTCCTCCCGATGAAAATAAGCCATGGAAAGCGAATGCGAAACAAACCCTTTTCAGCCTTGAGCCCCTTTTCGCCTTTAAAGCCCTTGTGTCCCTTCGTACCTGTGGTGTAAATGAAACGAAGGAAATCATTCCCGGTCGGACATATATTGAGGAAATATCAGAAGCCTTCGTGCTTTCCCTTTTCTCCCTTTAACCCTTTCAGTCCCTTCTCTCCTTTCAAACCTTTTTCTCCTTTCAACCCCTTGGTACCTTTCACTCCTGCTCAGAAGATGAAGAGGATGACGCTCAAAAAAGTACAAGTTCATGATAGAAGAAATGAGCACTTACCTTTTCGGCCCTTTGTGCCTTTTTCCCCATTTGCTCCTTTTAGCCCCTTTAATCCCTTTTCGCCTTTTCCTCCTTTCCATCCTATCAATAGTAATAAAATTGTACAAAAAGAAATATTGTATCAGCAAATGGGAAAGAGTGATGCCTTTTCACCTTTCTGTCCCTTTTCGCCTTTCAGGCCTTTATCTCCTTTAGGCCCTTTCAGGCCCTTTTCTCCCTTCCAGCCTTTCTCTCCCTTCCACCCTTTCTCGCCCTTCCACCCTTTCTCGCCCTTCCACCCTTTCTCGCCCTTCCACCCTTTCTCTCCCTTCCACCCTTTCTGACCCTTCTGGCCTTTCTCTCCTCCAGCGCCTTTCACACCTACAATATTAAAAGAATACGAAAATTTAGAGGAATATCCCAAGATTTAATCCACAATTACAATCCATATAATTACGCAAAAGTTTGATTGTCATACCTTTTACTCCCTTCAATCCCTTTTCGCCCTTTGATCCCTTCTCGCCCTTTCGTCCTTTTTCAAAGGAGGAAAACATACACAATGGTCAATTTAAAGGTCTAATAAGTATTTCAAAAATTGATTTGTTCAAGATTGCCAAGTAACTCACCCTTCATCCCTTTGGTACCCTTTCCACCTTTCATGCCTTTCCGCCCCTTTTCACCTTTATCGCCTGTACAGATTTTCATTGCAAGATTACTTTGGTAAACTCTGAAATGAATATAAATGACCTATCACAAACCTTTTTCTCCTTTGAAACCTTTCTGCCCCTTGTCTCCTTTCAAACCCTTCATCCCTAGTAGAACAAAGGGAAATATGTGATTCAACTATTCCTCTTCAGGCAAAAAAAAGCATTAGCAAATTTTAATGAACCCCTTAAGAACCAGAACCCGGATGGCCATATTTGCCGCACTTTCTTTTGTCTCTTTATTCTCTAAGAATCTCTCCAAATACATTACTTGGTGAGTATCGAAAGCCTTCATTATAAAAATTGAAAAACGAAATTTAAAAGTTAACAGTGCAGCTAATACAAGTCGATAACTTCTGTTTAACATGGTTCATTGGACCGGGAACGGTAATTACTGGGTGAATACGCACCTTTATCTGCTTTGAGTCCCTTTTCGCCTTTCAGCCCTTCTGCCCTTTAATTCCTGAAACGTAATGAAAAGGAAAAGAAAGTCGCAATCGAGGACACATCCGAGGAATTGAGAAGTCTCCAAACTAACCTTTTCCACCTTTCATCCCTTTCATTCCCATCATACCCTTTGACCCATTTTCCCCTTTCGCACCCTCTGTACCTTTCATTCCTTTGAAGGAGATAACGATATCATTGCCGTTTGATGAAATTCACTGATGAATTAAATTTAATTCAGCACGTACCTTTCTGGCCTTTCAGGCCCTTTTCTCCTTCTATTCCCTTCTGTCCCTTTAATCCTTTTTCACCCTTCAATCCCTTCTCGCCCTTCCATCCTATGATGAAAGAACATTTTAAAAAATATATGCGACATTATATAAGAGAAAGTTTGGAACCATGTTACCTTTGTGTCCCTTTTCGCCCTTCAGCCCTTTCTCGCCTTTCAGTCCTTTGAGGCCCTTCTGGCCCTTCCAGCCTTTTTCACCTTTCTGGCCCTTCTGCCCTTTTGTTCCCTTGTATCCCTTAACGCCTTTTTCACCTGCAAGTGGCGAATGTGCATCAATAAACACGATTAAATCACTAATTTGTTGAGACACTGACATACTGCAATGAAGTATACGCAATTGCAATTGCATACCTTTTCCTCCCTTCATTCCTTTTTCTCCTTTAACACCTTTTACTCCTTTCTGCCCTGTTATGCAAAAAATTTTCAAGCTGATTATTATGGATTCACGAATTTCCAAAATAAATCCAATGCTAAATCTGTGTGCCATTGCAAGGATACTCACCCTTATATCCTTTGAGGCCCTTAACCCCTTTCATTCCTTTTTCTCCTTTCCTTCCCTTCTGTCCTGTGGGTTCATTGATTTTTGTTCAGATGAATTAATTTTTTTAAGTTCTTCATGGAAAAGAGAGATTGCCAAATTCATACCCTTTTCACTTTTGACTCCCTTCTGCCCCTTCTCACCCTTCACACCTTTCCCCCCTAGACGATCAAGAAGAAACACACATCCCCATTAGTTAGACTTTTGGTGAAGAAAGTCATATACAATATAACAGGAAGAGTAGATACTCACCTTTTTGTCCCTTCAGTCCCTTTTCACCTTTCACACCTTTCTGGGCTTTCAGTCCTAAAACGTACGTAAAGTATATTAAATCTGTATTTCAAGAATAATAATAAAAAACACTCAGGATTTAACACCGACCTTTCTCTCCTTTTTCTCCCTTCATACCCTTTTCTCCTTTCACTCCCGTAGTACCTGTCATTCATGTAATAATGGTGAAGAGGAAACCATTATTAAAATTTAAAGATGAGAATTCACGACGGAAGACCCCTTACCTTTTAGACCCTTCTGGCCCTTTTCCCCTTCTCTTCCCTTTTGTCCCTTAAATCCCTTCTCCCCTTTCGTACCCTTTTTTCCTTCCAATCCTATGAGATGAATAGAAAATTGTAATGTCATAAACAATTAATCAGTTGAGGAAGAGTTTCGATAATCACCTTTTAGTCCCTTTTCTCCCTTCAGTCCCTTTTCTCCTTTCCCTCCTTTGCGACCTTTCTCTCCCTTTTGACCTGCTTGTCCTTTCACGCCTTTCTCACCTGCAATATTTGGTTCATTTGATGAAGTAAGAAAACATTGTTAGAACGTGTGAGTCTGGGATCAGAAAATATCCACATAGGGATGGACTCACCCTTTACTCCCTTTTCTCCTTTTAGTCCCTTCATTCCCTTCTGTCCTTTATGTCCTTTTTTTTAAAAGGTGAAAATCGATTGTATAAGTGAGGCAATTTCCCTGAATCAAATAACGAAGTCAGTGGAAAATACTGTATTGAGACCCACCTTTCCACCCTTTGGTGCCTTTCTCTGCTTTCATGCCCTTCTGCCCCTTCTCTCCCTTCAGTCCTATTTGGTTGAAACATTCGGGATGAAGCATTTCATTTTTCTCAGCGTTACTTCAGGGAATCAATGAAACTCTTACCTTTTTCACTCTTCATTCCTTTCTCCCCTTTTCCGCCTTTTTGCCCTAATCCCAGTCGGAGACCACCTTCTTCAATAGTGTGTTTTCATTTGAAAAATAGAAAGTGAATACGGATTCATACGAACCTTTCTCTGCCTTGATCCCCTTTTCGCCTTTTATACCCTTCTGCCCTTTTACTCCTTAATCGGAGGCAAAAACAATGTCATGAATGGGGCATCTTCCAAAACACACACAGAATATCTCACTCACCTTTCTCTCCTTTTTGCCCATTCTTTCCCTTTTCTCCTTTCATCCCCTTTCCCCCTTTTATCCCCTTTCCACCTTTCATCCCTATGAGGAAGGTGGAGAGGATGTTAATGATGAATGCTTGGCAAATGAAGTTGCAATATTTGAGCATATACCTTTTAGTCCCTTTTCGCCTTTTTCCCCTTTCGTTCCTTTTTGTCCTTTTAATCCCTTTTCTCCTTTTAGTCCTTTGTCTCCCTTCAATCCTATGAGTCAAATAGGAATGTCAAACTAAGCAGATGGATGAATGGGTGAGAAGGTCGGGGCCGATCTCACCTTTCTCTCCTTTTTTGCCTTTCAACCCTTTCTCTCCTTTTTGTCCTTTCAGGCCCTTCTCTCCCTTAAACCTTTTCTCACCCTTTTGGGCTTTCTCTCCCTTCATTCCTTTCACGCCTGGAATGTTTTTGTTCATGTAAATATAGGATAATTTCATGTGATTCACTCTATGTATAAATGCAACTTGATTAAGGAGAAACATAGAGATGGACGTACCTTTATCTCCTTTCAGTCCTTTTTGCCCCTTCCATCCCTTGAATCCCTTTTCTCCTTTTTGTCCTTTTTGGTTGAAAAAAGAATCTTTGTTAAATTGAGCAGTTCGGAATGATAGGATCTTACATTTCAGGTTAGCTACGCAAAATATCTCAGTGATGCACCTTCGTGTACCACCTATGTTAATATGGCTCATCGTTACGAGTGTAGTTCCAAACGTTCTGTAACTTCAGTATTTTCTGAGTCTTTATTCGGAAGAATGGAAATATAATATAAAAAATAATCTGGACCTGTTTATTGTATGAATTATATTACCAATTGTTGCTGCTGCAAGTCCCACATCTTCGTCCATTAGGCGACATGAGATATGAGAGATATAATTTTTTCTGATGTCACACCTTTAACTTTTACTTCCTTAAATGCTTCCACATTGTGACGTAATTTTTTTAAATCGTCTTTTAAACCCCCCCCCCCCCATTGAAAAAGGAAGCGCCAAATGATATGCTATATGCACGGGCATGGCTTCTAGCGCTTTTTCCATCCAATCATGGTAGCCCTTGGCATATTAGTATTCGAACATGAAGCGCAACCTGTATTTCATTGCACAGTCATTGATTTGGCACTCTTTACCTAGTGTCGTGATTGTATCGTACTTGGGACATTTGTTTAGAAACTATTTGATGCTGATCTAATAGTTCCAATAATATCAAAGGATGCATTCCATCCATGCTATTGTGATGGATGAGGATGGTATCGAAGGGTACGACTGAATGTCCCGTGTTCGATGGTGGAGTGATAGTACACATGACCGGCTATCAGGAGGCCCGTGTTTAAGTCCCGGCCCTTCCCTGGCTTTCTTTCGGCCTCTCATGCCATTCATGCCCCCGTCTATTTTTTCCCCTCTGTAAAGTCTTCGCTTTTCCATGGGTCGAATGGCTTACTAGCCTTTTTCTTTCCATGTCATAGGCTAGCGAGTTTTGTTATTCGTCCATGCAGCCGTTAGGCGTACAAGCTTGTGCATTTCCGCACCTAGACCGAGTGGGATGGGAATGCGCATCGCATTACATATTTAACAATATGTTATGCCATGCACGCGAGTAAGAGAAGCGGCGACGCTGCGTAGGCCTGCACTGAGGATGAGCAACTTGAAGACATTAATGCCGAGCGGGGAGATGCATCAATTGCAGAGTAACATCAGGCAGTTAACGCTTTGCGGAGAGCAGCGCGTGTACGCGTCAAACCTTTAACTATACTGGAGTTGCGTTGGCCAGGACGCACGACGTTTCCAGCCGTTTCGCGTGATCACGACCCTATGAGTGTGTAATGCTGTTGAGCACAGCCTGGCTTTTCATTTAGAAGCAGAGAAGGATTAACTTCGGCAAGCCTGTTATCATGATCAAGTCTTGGTGTTCTATTCGAACACATTGGAGTTTCCGCCAGAGTTGAAAATGCTGTCTATTGGGAAGATGAAAACTCTCGCAATTTTCGCGAGATTAACATACATCACGGTAGCGCAAACGCGTTTGCCTCCTTTAGGTGCAACGATTGTCGATACTACCGACAACGGTCCTTACTGCTACAAAACCTCAGAGGAGGTCTATCATTTAACTATGACACGTCTACATACACTTGATAATTTGACACATCACAGTATCGACATTGTGAAGAACGATCATAGTGGTGGTGAAGCCGATCGACAGGGCACCTTTCCGGTTAAATTCTTCAACAACTTCAATACTCTGGGTTTCTTTCTGCACGCCGTAAACCGAAAAATTGAAGCTATCCTGATGGGTGTACGTAATCTTATGATTGTTAACGATCTTTACAACGACACGCCTATGACCGTAAGAGACCTGAACGCACATGTCTTAGTACTGATGTGGTTCAAACGAAAATGTGGCATTGGCTGTTACTCATAGTCTAAAGTTAGCCTACGGTAGGGGACTAAAAGTCCTCATTTCATTTGAAAACCCATAGTAGTCGAGGTGATCACGGGTGCGCTTCGTGAAAGCGTTCACTTCCTGCCTAGAGTTTTACTGGTCGCGTCAAGCCAAATCAACATACCATTCCATCTTTGCCAACATCAATTCCCTATCGAGCTTACACGGTATGACTATGAACAAGTCCCAGGGACAGACATTTGATCAAATCGGATTTCTATTAATACTTACGGAGTCAGTATCCGTGCATGGCATTTGTACATTGCCTGCTCGCGAGTTCGCACTGAGTATTCCCTGAAGATTCAGGTTATCGATGGAACGAAGAAAGAGAAATTGAAGCTGACTTCGTTACTGTCGACGTGGACTTTGAAGAAGCATTTCTGTGTTCGTCAAATCTGTCCCAAGGAAGTATTTTTGTTAATTATGATATAAACTTTAAGCTTTCTTCCCACGTGTGTTCCGTTTCTTGATAGTTCATGGTTCCTTCCATTTTTATATACTTTGCCCACATTGGACTAATTTTATTGGTTGTAATTTTCCCACATTGGCAGTTGTAGCACGCTGTGTCTCAGCATTTCTTTGATGCGTATATGTTTCCCTGTATGCTAATTTTGGCAGCGGGAACCTGGCTAAGACTATTCTTAGTTGATGAGCAGGAACTAAAAGTATATGTACTGGTAAAAGGCTGCAATAGCGGCCAGTGACCGCTAGTACCTTATTATTTTATAACAACCTAAGTATAAGGACCTCGGGAAATAAGGGAACAGTTATCGTCCTATCAACTTTCGTCCCAGAGGAAAAATAATTCCTGAATCCTAAGATAAGCCTTGACTTTTCCGATGCATTATTTACGACTCGGGTGCTCCAACACTTGCAGACATGCAGACAAACAGGAAGAACGGGAAGCGAGGCAAACAAAAACGTCCTGAGAAGCACTATTGATTGGGTTGACAATTTTTTTTCATCGAAATTAACCATAGGAACCTTATTCTTTTTATTAAAATTTCGTCCTTAACGTACTTCTTTTCAATTACAATGTTCTTACCTTTCGTGCCGTTGAAACCCTTCTGCCCTTTCTCTCCCTTCACACCTTTCTCCCCAAAAAGGTCAAGGAGAAATAATGGTACGTCTTCAACAGAGAAATAGACAGAAAAAGAGAATACGATTTGTACGGACCTTTTTGTGCCTTCATTCCCTTTTCACCTTTCACGCCTTTCCGTCCTGTTATCCCGGCCATGATAGGAATGAGAAATATATGTAACCAACAGGAACAGCATCCTAGATAATGAATAAGTCTTCGAACCTACCCTTTTCTCCCTTTAACCCTTTCATTCCTTTTTTTCCCTTCATGCCCTTTTCCCCCTTCACTCCCTTAGCACCTTTCAATCCTGTAAAGAAGGTGAAGAAGGTCATACCCAATAGATTAGAAGGTGAAGTTACTAGAACTGAGCTTATACTATATTCATAGTAAATCAACCGAGAGACACGGATTTCTCGTAGGATTCATCGGATGATGAATCCTACAATTCCTTCAAGTTAAAATGAATAAGTGAAAACCATTCTTGAATCATATGATGGGAATGTATGCCGTTCTTACCTTTCTGTCCCTTATTGCCCATCAGGCCTTTCTGTCCTTTATATCCTTTCCCACCTTTCTTTCCCTTCCATCCTTTTTCACCTTTCGTTCCCTTCCATCCTTTTTCACCTTTCTTGCCTTTTTGACCCTTCATGCCCTTCTGTCCTTTCATGCCTGTTTCACCTGCGTTGTAGAGAAAAACATATATTCGCAGGAATAAATACTTTCTTGAAGCATATCACTTCGAGGTGTAATAATAAGTCTAGCTGGAAGTCCTCGAACCATCTTGGGATGGTCTTAGGAAAGATGATTCCAAGACTGGAATGCACGCTTTGCACCATTCTGTTTATGTTATATTCACAATTTATATTCTCGTATTCCACCACATCGATTGCTAACTGCCTAACTCTTTTTAATCTCAGCTCATTCCATGTACTGAACACAAAATTGTCTCATGAAAAAATTTTAATAACTAGGCACCAATGCTGAATCAGTCCCGAATCCAACCCAATTCCAGTGGGATATCTGGATACAATTGGGGAAGGAGTTTGAAGTCCACATATTAACCCTAAATTAACGACAGCTAAGTTCATTTTTTAAACCGAATTGATGCATCACTAACAACCAAGACTTAATTTTGTATAATTTTCCGCTCATCCTTTTCCTTTTGAAATACACATTCTGGCAACACTCCTTTGGGGCCGCGCGGTGGGAGAGATAAAATCAATGGAATGAAATTGACAGTTAAAATTTGAGGTTCTTTGTTCACTGCAACCCGGGGATTCGAAACCTCAAATTTTCTGTTGCTGTTCTGTTTTGAGAATGGATGAAGCACGCCCAATTTCGTTTCTGTAAATGCTCTCCGAGACTCTCGAGACATTGCTCTAAGGTCTAATGAGCCATTAATCATGCCTAGTTGGAATTGCAATAACAGGTTTTAAAATGTTTCAGTTGCACTTCATCTTACTGTCAAATCATTTTATTTCAGTCACTCGCTAGAGGGATATTACTTTTTAAAATGTTTCCGTCCCTTTTGGAACACCCTGTATTTCCTTCAGTCAAACGGAGAGACATGGAAAGCTGAAACTGGGCATGGACGTGCATATT